TCTGCGCAAAAGATATGCTTTTCCTGCTCGTGCTCTCCGCCTGTGTGCACGACAAGTCTCAGAACGCACAGCTAGGGGGGCCAAATCGTTTTGGCCCAAAAGAGGCGGGTCTATGAAGCAGTTATCCAATTGCTGATTAATGATATAAATGAGTGACATACAATTTAGCCAATCAGCGCCCTCAAATAGATTCAGCGTGGGGCCAAATCGATTCTGCCCTCCTCGCTGTGCGTTCTCGTCAGGAGAAGTCTCTACAGGCGAGCGCGAGCGCCAGTGCGAGCACTACTCCTCCAAGACCTGTTTGAGAGGAGAACTTTGGAGGAGATTCTGCAGACCAAAGAGCTGATATCAGATCAGCCTGACCTCACAATCAGACAGCAGACTAGCAGGAAAGGAAGCAGTACATGCAAAGCTTCTCTAGTAGCTGTACACCAGACAGGTTAGGCTAGCTGGATGACGTCATGCTAATAACGTATTTAGCTTTAAAACAACGGGGACAGATCCAGCACGGACAGTTAGGGAGTGAGGGATGAGGAGGTAAGGAAACATGAGAACACCAGGGCACACTCTGTCAAGCTACATATTAGGCAAAGTGAACATCTTTTCTTCTGCATAGTTGTCCTCAGTCTCATCTGCTTAACTTGGTCATGGAGACATCAACATGCAATTGAGATGTTAAATTAACAGTGAAAACTCATCATAGCTTAATTTAACATCAGTATTCATAATTACACTTCATGTTTACTTCTCCTGATCTTTACCTCCAAGGTCCATAGGGGCATCTCAATAAATAAACATGTTATATTATATTATATAAGTGTTATTTACTGTTTTTTTCGTGTTGGAATAAATGTTAAATATTTAACTGCAAAGTAGTAATGCATGTTTGATACCTTAATGTTTTTGCATTAAATCATACTGGGATGTTTGCTGAAATTGATAGGATGGCCCTACCTAGAACATGTTCCACCAGCCACCACTGGTAGACAGAGTTGTGGACTAAAGACATTTCACACTGTACATATGAATAAAAGGAGAACCAGGATTTCTCATAATTAGCATTCATATCGCTTCATGTGCATGTTTGTTTATAGAACGATATAAGTAAATGATTTGAAATCTTAATTGGACAGAACAAAAGCCTCTCAAACTTTATAATTTCACTGTAATTACAAACTTGTTTCACGGTACTAAAATATGTCGAAACAAATTAAAGCAGCAGTCATCATTACAAGAAAAAGCATAAACTGAAGATCAGTTTTACCTCACAGCAGCTGGAAAACAAAACTCTTACTTTTGTCTTTGTAGTTACATGTTTGAATGTAGTCTACTTGAGGCGGGATGTTGGGTGGGTGGGGGTGACATATTGTTATAATATTCATTGCGTAGATCCAGGTGTGAACTGACAAGTAGTTATTTGGTAACATTGACTGATTGCTGCCTGGTTTAATTGTGCAGCAACCACACTGTATAATTCATTGCCTGGCACTTTTAACTTGGTAATTACTGGCTGCTGGGACTCAGTGGGACTCCAGTGGTTGTGTCAAAAACAGCTCACTCAGTCAATCCACCGACACAAATCCACGCAGGAAGCTGTTTTTTATTCATTAGGTGTATTGGTCTGGCCCATTTTTCTTTGAGTCAGTTATGCTGTATTTTGCATTTTGTGTGATACAATACACAGAAGTTTACGTAAAAGTTGAATTTTTCTGGTAATTGATATACAAGTGTATGCCTTACAGCCAACATATTGTCAGTGGTCAGTGGCCCTACGCTTCAAACTATGACGCTCTACGTTCCCTTCTAGCGTCAGTTCTGGTCGTGGCAGGGATTTTCAGTGTTTGTTGGACACACATCGTTGCACAACAGTCTGATCCTGACTGATGAACAATTCAATACAACAATGTTAGTGCTATAGCAGCTGCCCCATATTATCTTCCTGATCCTCATTTATGTGTGAGGCAGAAGACCTAAATTCCATCCATGTATTTGTTATAGATTTAGATTATTCTCATTTTTCTCAGAGACTACTCAGATTCAATTTAATAATTAGCAGAGCAAGCTATTTTAAAACAATTTAAACCCTTCCCATGAATAGAAACACACCACATTTGTATTCTTTAGACCTTTACACATCACAGTTTTTTTTGCTGCCAGTATGAACAGTTTTGATGTTAAATATTTGCAGCCGTGTATTTTTCATTTTTTGTGTTGTCCCCCCCCCACCCCGCTGTTTAAAAGCCTTCATCCTACATGAGGCAGACTTGTGGGGATTTCTTTACTCATGGTGGTGATAAGGTGACCATCCCATATTGTTAAAAATGCTATAGCTCTGCAGCGATTTAACGCTGACCTAAGTGCAACACTTTGTAAGCTGATCCGTGACACATGAATGCTGTAAAGATGGCAGACAGAAACACAGCCAAAGCAAATCATGTCTGCATGAGTGTTAGTGTGTCTTGTGTTTCTGTCCTCCCACAGAAACCACAAACAGAAAGTCATCAAATGACAACAAGAGGAAGGAAGAGAAAGAAAGGGGAGGAAAGCACTTACCCTTTAATCCAGCTAGAAGATAGCAGGGTCAGGGTTTAGAAGAAGATGAAGAAGGAACAAACAGAGAAACATAAAGACACACAGCAAAGCCACCGACACTTTAATGCTACAGCAGTTGTACAACAAAGAGCGAAGCAGCGCACAGAGAGAGTAACATTTGAAAACAGGTAGAACATGACCAGGAAGAGGACAAACTAAGAACATCGTTGGCTGATGTGTAAAAAATGATGTAAGGACAACTACAGTAGTAGCACAAGAAGAGAGAACAAGAATCTGAGAGTGATGAAAAGAAGGACCTCAACTAGCTAATATATACTGTCTATCAGTGGTGGGCCGTCAGGGCCAGCAAGGCCTTCTCTGCTGGCCTACACAGAATCACAAAGTTATAGCTATTTTATAATTTAATCATTTTTCTTAAATACACTACATGTATTATAATTTATAAAAATATGTTTCCCATTATCTTATTTTCTCATTGCACAGCTACTGTCTTCCTCAGTTGCTCTGCTTCCAGTGCAGCTTGTTTTAAGTAGAGCTTTTATCCAATCAGATTTCACCTCTGTGTCTCTAGGTAAGAACAGAGGCAGAGGCCTGCAGACTCACAAGTGCATCCATGTGCAGTTTAAGTGAATGGGGACGATATTGTTGATTGTCATAGTCTTCAACCAATCAGATCTTTAGTTTGACATGTTGGGCGTATTCTTTGACACGTCAGAGCTGTCTAGGTAGTCTACAAGTACGTCAGCATTAACGTGCGATGTGATTGGTCAGTGGGCTAGCGTCACCGTTGTGAAGCTGAAGCAGCTAGCATACTGTAATACGTAATATGCATACGTAATAGTAGTAAGAGTTCAAGTTGAAAGATATGTAAGAAGTTATGACATTGACATGACATTTTTAGCATTTTGCTTGGTGTAGCTTTGTTTTTTTAACAATCAATGGCTGAAGGAGGAGAAACGGATTTCTCAAGAAGGATATTTCCAGAAAAACTGGACATCGTAAGAAAGGGTCGGCCAACCCCACAGCTAGCAGCCCTGACCCAGCCAGGAAAAGGATTTGTGCGCCACTTTCAGTCCAGCAACTACGAACAGTATTCCTGGCTGACAGCGTCGGAGAAGCGTTGCACATTTTAATGGCTGGGAATGCATTTTATTTACGACTGAGCGTCTCGGTATTTGGAGCTACGCTACTCTAACCTGAGGTGGCTAACCAAGGCAGCAACACCACACCATAGCACGGCAGGACACTTACAAGCTACGATACTCCAACGAACACGTTCACAGGAGGACCTCTGGCTGGAACTAAACCGCACGATGTTCTGTACAACCGTGTCATTAAACTCTTTGTAATCAAAGAAAGGAGGATGGACTTTGTCTTTAAGTGAACAGCAGCTTTGGTAAGTGAAGTGCTTTTGTGTTTTTACATCTGCAGTAGCGTTACTACTGTGTTCATTTATCTATGGTGTCGTTTTCATGAATAATATGAATGGCTCGTGCTCTTCAGTGTGCAGATGAATACGTGTTGTAGCGCTGCAGGTCTGCTGGATTGATTTGTTGCTTTGTTGTCATGTAAATATATGTGACTGGTTCTTGTGAGTTTGTTCTTGTCATTGTGTTAATTACGTTGATTTTGACTATATGCATTGACCGTTAATGACGAAGCATCCCGTCATGCGTGGGGTTAGGGTTCAGACATTTGATTCTCTGTTTGGGCTGTTGTTTTCTTTAACAAAGCAGGAATTATGGTCTGGAGAAATGGGGATTGTGTGGTGATTGCTTTAGCCCTGTTTGAATCAGTAGGGAACAGCTAAACGCTGCGGGGAGAGTTTGTAGCTTGTGTGCTGCTGTTAGTTTTCCTGCTAAGCTAGTTTAGCGTAGCCTCCCAGAACACACGCGCCTCACCAGAGTACAATGTGTATCGTTTCCGGGGTCAGAGTGTCTCTTACGTGGTGGGTTGCAATGTTGAGCGAAGTCCACCGAAAACATTATATTTCCCACAATTTAAGCTTCTGTATTTTCCAAATGCACAAGTATTATTCAAACATAAACAAATAATAACCGTAGCTGTGGTGTCATGTTGAGGTTATTAGGAGGTGGTTCAACTGTAGAAGGACAGCACTGAAGGACCAGGTACAAAATGCACGGCCCGCCACTGCTGTATATATATCAGCAAACTGATGTTTGGATTTAGACTTATAACATGAATACTTTACAATATGAATGAAGAGCATAATAGAAGTAGGCTTCAGGAGATACAAGAGGAACGAGCGTCATGTGAAAACATAAAATGTGGCTGCAGTAGAATATCTCATTTCCTACAGTGAGTTTAATCCATTAATCAACGAAAAGAGATGCTACACCATCAAGTTAGCGGGAAAAACAAGTCATGGAGAAAGATGACTGCATGTTGTGGTGCGAGACCTAAAGGACACAGAGTTGAAGACTTACAGAACTGAGATATGGGTGCGTCGAGCTGCGGTGCTGTGCCCCCCTTTGAGTTGAGTTTCTGGACCTGGGTGGGAGGAACTGGCTTGTGTGACTGACCCGTGGCTCGGTACATGGCCTGCACCCAAAGGATCCGGTCCTGCTCGTCGTCGCTGGCGAATATCACGGTGTCGCCCTCTTTCACGGCGTTGAAGAAAGTCCGGCCGCCGTCTAGACCTGAGGAATGGACAGAGGAAGGGGAAGATGATTTATGTGTGAACAGGATCATACATTGCTGTTTGTAGCCACAGGAAGTCCTGAGTTACCGTCACAAGCAGTACCCAACTGGATGTTAGGCCACAGTTTCACGTGTCTCTTTAATGCGACTTTTGTGTTTGGATGCAACAGGTTGGAACTCAGCTTTGTGACCTGACTGATCGCTTTATGTTCGGGTGTATGACAGAAACCTTATTTGATAAATGATCTGGATTGCGTTCACATGCTGTCACACCTCAATGATATCTCATCTCAATATGAGCCGGGCCAGGTCAGCGAGATCCACACATTTAAGAATCAAAGAGAAGGCCATCAACATCTCACGAAACTGGCTAAATCTGAAAATGCAATTTGTATTGATGTATTTATTTACCAGCTCACCATTTATTATTTGTATGTACATGACCTGAGTTGGATGAGGGTGTGGGGGGGCTGAAGGTTTGGATGTGCTCTGTTTTCTTTCATACTGTTTGTACTTTACTGAATGTTGAAAGACTTGTAAAAAAAAGCATTGAGACATTGACTGGAATAAAACAGAGTCTACAGTATAGGTGCACAAACTAAATGTTGTAAATGATCAATGAACGGCTTATTCTAGTGAGTTAGTACCGCACTTCAATAAGGTTAGATTGACGACATCATGGCGGTTTTCTCTGACTTCCAGCTCCTCCACCGCCACAGGAGAAATGATACAAGTGTTTTCACAGACGCCTTAACCTCTACCATTATAAAGTCTGCTCCGTTTATGAGTGGGCTGAAGCAGACATAACACCTGTTGAAGGCTCACCAACACCTGAGAAGAGATCCAATCAGGCAGCTAAAGAACTTTAACAACACATTTTCCTAACGTTGCTTGTTGGAATGCTCTACACAGCTCTGTGACTGATGTTACCTGGCTGGGGGTCAGTGTAGTCCACCGTGTAGCCGTCCAGCTGGAGGAGCTCCACCGGCTCGGCCTTCTTCTCTCTGTAGCTGCACATTGCAAAGGTGTACTGACTCACCTGCACCAATCACAGAGGGAGGGAAGAGGGAATGCTGGTTAGTTAGCTGTCGACCACATAACCAGCTCTCTCGCGCTCTCTCGCGCTCGCTAGAGCGAGAGCGCGAGAGAGAGCGAGAGAGAGCGAGAGAGAGCGAGAGAGCGCTCGCTCAAAACTGCTGTCATGTGAGGGTTGGAAATACTGTGCATTACAAACAAACACAGGACTTTCACCCAGGAAACCACTCTGTGTGTCCTGGTGAAGCCAGGCCGACATGTGAACCCACAAGTTAATGTATCACATTTGTTAAACGCATTCAAGTTTCCAGAGGATGGATTTTTGATTTCAATGAGCCTGAAGGCTTTCCTTTAGTGCAGCCCACAGTAAAGGTAGAGTGATACAGTCATAGCTGACCTGTACAGGAAGCTAGCAGGGATCATCACCTTCAGTCCTGTTAACAAAAGGCCAGTATTGAGCCCGGTTAAGGCTTTGACCTGTCAGTGCATCCTGTGTTGGTAACAGAAAGTGTAGCGACTGTTGCTAGCTGTAGCTGGACTGCTGCTACTGTAGCTGCCAGTCATACTGGCCTGTCGTCACAAATCAGCAGGCCTGGCCAATCTGCCGCTGTCGCCACCTCTGCCGCTGCAAGTGGCAGCTCTCACTCTAGCTGCAGCTGCATTCTATGTGTGTGTGTGTGTGTGTGTGTGACAAATGAGATTCCCCACAACAGTGCTGATGAGACCTGAGGCCAAGTAAAGGATAGAGGAAACCGGACCTACTCTCCAGCAGCTCCCTGGCCCCCAGGACACCGCAAAGGCAAATCAGAGTCTAAACTACCGACCCCCCCCCCCCCCCCCCCCCCCCCC